GATTAATGAAATAACAAATATTAAGTTTCCACCTTATAATGGACATAATCTGATGTGATCATCTTACTTTTGGACAAAATATTTTCTTCGGGTTGAACCTACAATTTCTCACAAATTTTATAATCACAATTTTAAAATATTTGACTAGTGTTAGTTTTGAATAGTCTCAAAACAATGTTTATGATAGTTAATATTAACTAGGTACTCACTTGTTTGGCAATCCAATGAGTTTTTAAACATAATATTCTTTAGAGCAATATTTATTCACTACTAGATTTCCTCTGATTTAATTTTTTTGTGTATCCATAGAAACCATTTTACACATAGCATGTTTGCCATTGAATTTGTACATACAACTTACTAACCAACTGCAATTCGGATTAACTCTGTTCCTCTGTCCGGGCAAAAATGTAGGTCGGTCTACCTTGAATTTATACCCCTGCCACAGCAAACCTGCAGACTAAGCAAATTTCCATTTGCCTGATTGGATTTTCAATTAAATCTATTTAAATAACGTTAGGTTTAACAAGTACAAAGGTTTGCTACTACAGGGAAGGTAATAAAGTTTGTTTTTAGTAAAATAAAAATAGCTTAGCATAAAATAAATAAATTTGTCAAGTTTTATCAAAATATTAAACAAGCAAACTACAACAGTGTACTCACTATCCCTCCATAAGAATAACATAGGAATTTTATATTTAAAATTTTTTGAATTTCCTTCCTTAGCCAGTAACCGTATACTAAATTATTTGTTTTTATACACTCTTCTCTTTAAATTGGTTTAAATAGAATTTGAGAAATTTCATGTTTCAGGATCAAAAATTAGAAAACAATTTTTTATCCCATAAATCCCCGATAAAACCCCATTCCCATGGTCTGAAAATGCTGGTTCGAGAACTCATTCAAGTTTATCCCGCCCTACGTCTTCAAGCCAAAATTTCATAAAAATCTGACAAAAATTACTCAAGTTATTGCATTCATGGTCATATATATTTATAAAACATTTGAACAAATAGTGTTTTTTTTTTGCCTCTAGGAACATCAAAATGAAAAAGTACATCGGTCTCGGCTGTATGTCTTACCTTCGATATATGGTGCCACCTTCGGTAATAGCTACTTCCCTATAGGGAAATTCGTTAAAATGTCTTAATTAACATACTCTTATAACCTAGACACTTCTGTGTCCAGACCTATCGCAGCATTAAAATAGTCAATATAACTATTATTGTCTTTTTCAGATATATTATTGCTATTTTACCACTACGCAAAATCATAATTAGAAAAAAATCACCCACTTTTCCAAGTACGTTGTTTGGCATGGTTTACATAGTTGTACATTCCAACTAATCTATCTGGTCATCTGACCTTGACAAGTTCTCTTGATAGGGTGTACTGTACTTGACACACGCTGCATTTGAGGACCTTTGCTTGGGCTTTGTGTTTACTAGTATTGTCTTTACTGTAGACCAGTGTAGGTCTAATCAACGGCCATGCAGTATAAGGTGCCATATCCCCATCCAGGAGCAGGAACATTTATATCAGGAACATTTATATCGTGGAATAAATTTCTTCGGCACTTTTTCCTTTGGAGGCCAAAGCTAAAACCATTATCTCCAAGGAAATGATCAGGAATAATCCTGATGAAAACTTCATCTTTTGTTTGTGGCTGCCCCACCGTTCAAGAAAGTGTTTATTAAACGTAACTCAGGAAAGAGTTTTTGTTACTAGGGAAGAGTGCCAGTGTGTAGGTGTCAGGCCGGTTGACTCACGTATGTTTCACCAAACATTGACCAACTGGTCTCCTGCAACCCATTTCAGATACAGACACGATGTCTCAGACATCTGTCGCAAGCAGTGCGTAAACTCTGATAACTCAGGTTGGTTGCATTTGTGAAGTGTGTTTAAAAGTATCGTACAATCAATGTCTGCGTAACAGTGTGTGACTGCACAATGCTACTGGAGGGTGAGACTGTTATCACAACTAGAATGATATGTTAGCATTTCACAGATATTGACAAAAACAATTAAACTAACGTCTCATTTATCGCAGCATGAGGTCACCAAATATTTAGACTATTAGTGAAATGATTATTAAGAGTTGACCATTTAAAACGCCCATTCCAATCATGGAATTGGAAGGTAACAATGTATTAAAGGATAGGAATCAATAAGTTTTAAATAAAATTTAAATGAAACCCAGACAGTTAAAAATATTAAATCTCACCATTTGACGTTTTATGTGTATTTTCTTTTGCTTTCGTAACTAGAAGTACGTCTCTCATCTGGAAGGTTTGATTTTGCCAAATCTCCTAAAACAAAATATATAGTTAGTTATTGAAAGACAGTGACAAAACTAAATTTTCTGAAGAGGTATGTTTAGAACTATCTATCTTATCTATCAAAATCAGCTAAAAAAGTCAACAACGAGAAGATTGCCTGGACTCTAGTTGATTCTTTTTTACCATCTTTAGTCCTGTAATGAATTAATTGAAATATTAGTTTTTCCTGCAGTTTAAAAAAATAAAATTTTCCTCTCTTGAGCAAAAATAATTTGCTTTCACAACCAATCCATGTATAAATTACAACGTGTACATACATTTACAACAATTAACATATTAGTATCAAGTAGTTATGGTAAAAATTAATTCAAAAATTTGTATTAGCAAGTAAATTTTGCTTGTGCTGTGGATATGAATTTATGATTTTAAAAAGTTTATAGAAAAATATATGTTTCTATGAGTAAATTAATATTACAAGTTATAGTAGGTACTCACATGTCTTTACAGTGTGTAATTACTTTAAATATATCCATCCTTACATTAGTTGCAGCTATTTTATGACCAGTCCTCTTGTGAAATTGAAGTAAAAAGTTTTGTTTCCATAGAAACCAATTTATACAAATCCTACTTTAGGTTGAGCTAAAATGTCAAGGGTGTTACTTTGGTAAATGTTAGTATTCTAGGTTTTAGAAAAGTAAAACTACTTGTTGTTTAATATAATTTGCTAGCAGATCCTGCTCTTATGGGTGTTATTAATCACATTTAAAATTGTTAGAAAAATTATCATGGAGAACTGTAACGGACACATTCCAGCTTAGTTCTTCCTTTAAATAGACTTATTAGTTGGATTCACTATAAATTAGAAATCATTTATTGACAAATCTAATAAATAAACTATTTTATTTTGTTTTAAATTGATTATTTTGTTAATTTTATCCTTGGGAGTTTGTGGGTAGATTTCTTAAGTAATAGGCTAATAAGTATTGATGTGTGTTTACAAACTTGAAGCAGTGAGATTACGAGATTTCACCATCATTCCATTATGTTTCAAAAACAAATTAGGTATGCAATAAATACTCTGCCATCTTTAAAAGAATTACAGAAAGCATAAAAAAATATTTTTAGCGAATTTCCCTATAGCGAAGAAGCTATTACCACAGGTCTCATGGTAAGACCTAGGCCCGGGACCGATTTACTTTTTAATTTTGATGTCCCCAGAGGCCAAAAACACCATTCGTTCAATTTTTATATATGTATATACCGTATATATATCTATATATATATATATATGTGTCCATCCGCACGATAACTTGAGTAATTTTTTTCCGATTTTGATAAGATTTTGTTTGAAGGTGTAAGGCGGGATAAACTTGAATGAGTTCGCGAACCAGCATGATCGGACCATGGGAATGGGGTTTAACAGGGGGTTTTATGGGGTAAAAATGGGTTTTTCTCATTTTTACCCTAAAACACAAAATTTATCAATTTTCTCCAGACCTTTTTAAAGAGCTTACAAAAAAATAATTTAGTATATCAAAGTGTTTTTGTACAATAATTGGTTACGGAGAAAAATCAAAAACAATTTTTATTTTAAATTCCCATGTTATTCTTATGGAGAATATTATAATATGTTGTAGTTGGCTTGTTTATGGATATATTTTGATCAAAATTGGCGTTTTCATTTATTTCATACTACTAAGCTATTGATATTTTAATAAAAAACACACTTTATTACTTTCCCTGTAGCAGCTAACCTAGGTACTCGTTAAACATAAATGTTAATTTAATAGATTAATTGAAAATCAATCCAGGCAAATTGAAATTTACTTAATCGGCGGGTTTGCTGAGCGGGGTTTTTATTACTAGTTAGTTGCTGCACTTTTTTGAAGATTTTTACCACGCGTTGCTGTATCTTGCATTGGTCATATTTGAATCAAACCAGACAAATGGAAATTCGCTAAGTCGGTAGGTTTGCTGCAGCGGGGGTGTTTTATTCATGAATGTTGGTATTTTTTATGGAAAGAAACACTGTTAGTTTTATAATAATGTCCATACTGTGTTAGGCATTTAGTTCTTCTCTAGCTCTAAGTGGAGTTTTTGGGTAACTGAGTTTTTCTACAGTAGAGTAGGAGTAGAGAAATTTACATTTCTAAATATACCCAACTGGCTTAGCGTATAATTTTTTTTATCTTTGCTTAAACATAAGTTACCATTACAGGCCGTTGGATAGTCCTGGATAATAACATTTCCAGATAATCAATGATTGATATTTAAAGGATAATAATTATGCAGGAAAGTATTGTGAGTTTAATTTTGACCTTCACCACAGTTCTAGTTTGCCGCCTATCTAAATCTACATTATGTTTTATCTATTAAAGTAAACAATAACCGAAGCTTTGGGTATCAGACTATCAGAGTAGTGTTTCTTTTACCTATTTATATTCGAGTACAAAAACTTGTATGACTCATAGGTCTGCCACTGTTACAGGACTTAATTATTTCTTTCTCCTGAAGCTTTTAGGATAAGTGAAACTTTATTTATTTTATGTTAGTTTGTAGTCTTTGTAAGATGAATACATTGTCTAAGAAAACTAATATTAAATCTTGAGATTTACTGCATAACCTTTTTATTTTGTGTCCATAATCGTGAAGTACAGAGAAACATGGTTAAAGCCCTAGATAAGTAGATTGAAATTCATCCAATACATTTTGTTGTTGCAGGAGAGACACAAGAAAATAGAGAATGTTGAGTATCAACACTGGAAAGAACCCAAGCTGCTGGTCAAAATTCTCTTGCACTACTTCAGTCACCATCCCAACAACATAGACTTGCTGTTTCAGCTGCTCAGGGCAGTATGTGATAGATTTCTACCAGATTTCACTGTGAGTTTTATGCGTTTTCCTCTTCCTGTGTAAAATACAAATTTAAAAACGTATGACTTTAAATGAAGGGAGTTCAGCAATAAATAAACTTGACCATGACCTAACCCAAAATCCCAATATAGGTGATAGCTTACTAAGGTTTACAACACTTTAAGGTTCTAGATGTAGTAAAATGTAGTCTACTATTCCCGTTTGAATGACTCGCCAACTGACTAATTGACTTTATTTTATTATAATTTATGGTTATAACACAAGCAATAAATCCCTGTATCTTGGTGGTTCTAAAATATAAAATATTTAGTGATCTATAAGAATCCTAAATAAAAAAAATTATTATTGTTCCAGTTTTTGCGAGACTTCCTAGAGAACACCGTTGCTGGAGGATATACAGTTGAGTGGAAGCGATCTGCGTTCTTCAGGTTCGTTGAACTGTTCCCGCAACCTTCCGTGTCTCAGGAGCTCAAAGCCAAGATCCTCCAGCTGATTATCATTCCCTGCTTTGCTGTGTGTTTTGAGAGAGGCGAGGGTGAAAAAGTGGTCGGCCGATCAGCGCAAGACTCCCCCGACAACGTTATATTTGTCTTCATCAACAAGGTTTGCCAAGTCATATATTTGTCAAAGAGTTGTTTTTAAGCTTAGCTGAAACTGATATGCATTTTAAGGTTTTTAGAATCGTGCATTAGTTGAATTGCATTCAATCAATCAATGTATCTTTATTCACATACACATTTAATACAAAGAGGATTAAAATGCACAGCAATATATTACTTGTATATTAACTTTTATGCAAAGTAATAACAGTGAAAAAGTTCTCGGAATGAATTTCTGTAGACATTTAGCGTGATTGCCAGTAATAAATTCGCCTTGCAGTAATTAATTGCTACGACTACTGGGGAGGGCATATCAGTAGTGGGCGTATAGCTGACGAGCCTTAGTGCAGCATTGGTAAGTGCTTTTCAGTACCTGCAAGTCTACATTGTCAGTTACTGTTGGTTGTGTACCTGCAAGTCTACATTGTCAGTTACTGTTGGTTGTGTACCTGCAAGTCTACATTGTCAGTTACTGTTGGTTGTGTACCTGCAAGTCTACATTGTCAGTTACTGTCGGTTGTGTACCTGCAAGTCTACATTGTCAGTTACTGTTGGTTGTGTACCTGCAAGTCTACATTGTCAGTTACTGTTGGTTGTGTACCTGCAAGTCTACATTGTCAGTTACTGTTGGTTGTGTACCTGCAAGTCTACATTGTCAGTTACTGTTGGTTGTGTACCTGCAAGTCTACATTGTCAGTTACTGTTGGTTGTGTACCTGCAAGTCTACATTGTCAGTTACTGTTGGTTGTGTACCTGCAAGTCTACATTGTCAGTTACTGTCGGTTGTGTACCTGCAAGTCTACATTGTCAGTTACTGTTGGTTGTGTACCTGCAAGTCTACATTGTCAGTTACTGTCGGTTGTGTACCTGCAAGTCTACATTGTCAGTTACTGTTGGTTGTGTACCTGCAAGTCTACATTGTCAGTTACTGTTGGTTGTGTACCTGCAAGTCTACATTGTCAGTTACTGTTGGTTGTGTACCTGCAAGTCTACATTGTCAGTTACTGTCGGTTGTGTACCTGCAAGTCTACATTGTCAGTTACTGTTGGTTGTGTACCTGCAAGTCTACATTGTCAGTTACTGTCGGTTGTGTACCTGCAAGTCTACATTGTCAGTTACTGTTGGTTGTGTACCTGCAAGTCTACATTGTCAGTTACTGTCGGTTGTGTACCTGCAAGTCTACATTGTCAGTTACTGTTGGTTGTGTACCTGCAAGTCTACATTGTCAGTTACTGTCGGTTGTGTACCTGCATTGAAAAATGGCATTTCATGAACAGTGTGCGAACATTAAGTTCTGTGTTTGACTAAAAAACCATATAGCGAGACTCTTGAGTTATTAATTCAAGCTTATGGAGAAGAAGTGATGAAGAAAAGTCAAGTTTATGAATGGCACAAATGGTTTCTTGAAGGCCGTGAAAGCATTGACAATTACCTTCGTAGAGAACGTCCTTCAACAGCAGTCAATTACATTAACGTTGAGTGAGTACGACAAGTTGTGTGTGAAAATCGAAAATTAACAATCTATAAAATTGCATTTGAGGTATATTATTATCTCATGGAAGTGTTCACACCATCCTTCATGGTCATTTAAACTTGCATCAAATTTGTTTAGGAATGGTTAATGCTGTCCCCTGACAAAGAACCTCAAATGTTGATTGTTGGTAAATTCTTTAATATGGCTGATGCTGATCCATATGTTTTTGAATTAAATTGTGACTGGTGATAAACCATGGTGTCATCTCTACGACCCTCCACCAAATTTGTGCCACTCAGTTTGTGGTAGACAACCGACAAAGTAGCCTATACTTGCAGGTACACCAAAAGCGCTTACCAATGCTGCACTACTATACCCCCACTACCGATATGCCCTCCCCAGGAGTCGTAGCAACTACTGCAAGGCGAATTTGCCGCTGGCGATTGCATTAAATGTATACAGAAATTCATTCCGGAAACTTTTTGACTGTCGTAGTATATTTACAGATTTTTTACAAGAACCATGTTATACAATTACCATATGTATCATATTATTTGTCATGTTATCCAATCTTTTTGCTTTTCCAACCTTTCCACAAGTTAAAGTCAGATAATTAAGACCCTAATGAAGTAACATACAACATACTGTCCTTTACATACAAGTGTTAATCTCCTCATAATTTATATTCCTACCTAGGTGATAGACCCAGACAACCCATCAGGCAATGCAGACTGTGTGCGGATACTGCTGCTGCAGTTCTCATGTCTGCTGGTAGAGCAGGCATTGCCCCACACTCACGACACGGCTAACAAGGCCAAACTGCGCAAGCTGATGACGTTTGCATGGCCATGCTTCATGGAGAACAACTGCGTAGACCCAGCCACGAGATACCACGGCCATCTGCTGCTGTCTCACATCATTGCCAAGTTTGCCATCCCCAGTCTGCCGTACAAGCGAATCGTCTTGAAAGGTTAATATTTTGTGTGCTAATTGATGTTGCTGCTAAAAGCTATCTGGAGGATTACCCTCAACTACTTTAGGTGACGTTTCTAAGGAACTTAAAACATCTCTCTCAAAACTAACATTATTTTCAATCAGATATATGTGCAAAGTATAATTATTGAGGAGAAAGGAAGGATACACAACTAACTCACCTGAATAAAGAGTCCCAGGAGGTCAATAGAACACATCAAAAGTACACATTAAACTGATACCCCTTTCAGGGGCTTCTTCACAGGTAGACGTTCTTCTGCAAAACTGTAACTGCCATTCTATTTTCTACCTCTGAAGAAGCCCCTGAAAGTGGAGAAATAGCTTGCTATGTGTTCTATCGACCTCCTAGGACTCTTTATTCAGGTGAGTCAGTTGTGTATCCTTCCTTTCTCCTCAATAATTTTTCCAAAGCCAAGTTGCTTTTTCCCTTTAAAAAAATATGTGCAAAGATTAGTAAACTTTTTGAGAAACGTTAAGTCACGAATAATCAACTACAGTCTACTAAATACTTCACACTTCTTTTACTCCCAAACTTCCCTCCATATCAAGTACACAGTCTACTTGAAATATCGACCTTCTCTAGGCCGGATAGCAAGTTATTGTTTAAACACTTCCAGCCTTCTCACTCAACATTGCATAGTGCTTCTTCTGTATAAAGTAACCACTCCTTTTATTACAGATAGGTTAAGAGTTAACAATGAACCACTTTTTCAGTTCTCAAGATTGATCCATTTATCTTGCCCTACCTTACCTTATCTCCTTGGTCAATTAAAGCAAGATTTCCCCTTTCCTACGCTGCCTATCCATCTTCTCTATCCTTATCAGGTATGTTCCTTATTGTTGCAATACAGGTTGTTGCTAAATGAATATTGGAGTATTTAAGCATTACAGCATCACACTATAATATTTATAAATCGCCCATAAAAAGATAGTGGAATTTATATTCCTCTATGATCTCATTCTGTCTGTAGGCCTACAAACAAGTGTCCAATGTTCTATTTTTCATAAGGTGTAAAACACAAGTAATCCCCATGGCACCACAACCCATGCGTTCATTTAAGACATGTAAAGGAATCTGAATAGAAATTTTCAAGTTGTGAAAAATTTTTAATTCTTTCTGAAAATTTTTAGTTCTTTTTTTTAGCCAAACAAAATCTAAACAAATTAGTCTGGACAGTAATTTTGTAATACTTTTTTGATTGCAGAAATGACTACAATTACGCTGTTGTATAGGATATGATAACTGGCACTCCGTGATACAATAGCAATATTTTGAAGAATCTATCATAAGTTTTAGAACTATATTTGAAACAAGTAATTTAACACTTTGAGGGTAGACTTGTATAATAATTAAAGTAGAATAAAAAATATTGTATTTTACAAAAACTTTATTTGGATCAAGATTGAAAACTCCCTAATTCAACTATTTGCAGTAGAAACTTCTTCCTAGGGTACTACTGATTGCCCGTTCCTGCCTTTTACACAATCCCACAAATTCCTTTTTTCTAGATGTCAAAATGTCTTAGACATGACAGAAGAAGGGCTGAGCCATGTACTCATCTGAGATTTGTGTGTGCTTGCAGTGTTCCACGGGCTACTGAAGGCGCATGCTATAGAGGTGCGGCAGGTGGTCAGACAGGCGCTGGAGATTCTCACACCTGCCATGCCTGTCAGGATGGAGGACGGCTACAAGATGTTGACTCACTGGACCAAAAAGATCATTGTGGAGGAAGGACACTCCATGCAACAGCTGTTCCACATCCTGCAGCTGGTGGTGCGGCATTACAAGGTAATGTATGTTAGAAAGTGACCGTATCACGTAAGAAGACCGTTTCCCGCTTCCTATTGTTAAATAAAGATGGTAGGCCAGGGACAGGAAGGCATTTGCAGTAAGTAACAGGCAAGTTTATATTGTTTACACTGCTGCTGGGGTCAGTTTGCGTTGTGCTAAACATAGATGGCTACCATTATTTAAGCTATTAATTAACAGGCGTGTCTAAGTCTTAGTCACTAACAAGACTACAAGATCGCCCCCACTCAATTATGAAAGGTAATTATTTCATGCATCATCAATAATTGATAATGAATTAAAAATAGGATTCTGAATCTCGATTGGATCCTGCTTGGGATTTAACCAGTAGTGTTACGTTTTGAAGGTGAGCACTAAAACTACTAGAATGTAGACAATCTACAGTTATTAAGTTAAACATTGGGTTGCAGGTTTACTACCCTGTGAGACACCACCTGGTACAACACATGGTCAACTCCACCCAGCGCCTGGGATTCAGCGCCTCCTCCACCATAGAGTACCGCAAGCTGGCTGTGGAGCTGGCCGAGGTCATCATCAAGTGGGAGTTACAACGCATCAAGGACGAGTCAGAGGCAGTGCAAGTCAAAATTGTAAGTAGGAAAGGGTCAAGTAATAATGGATAAGCAGTTTAGTTTACTTAGTGCTCGTATTTGTTTTTTAGTATAAATTTCTTTCTTCACATCCCATAACTATTGAAGAGTTCTATGACATTTCAGGTTTTGGAATCTAAACTTATACTAGTCATTTTACTCAAATACTAACATACATAGAAAATATGTACGGGAATTCCTTAACAATTATGACTATTAATTACTCTCTCTTCGCATTCACCTTATGTAAATTTGAATTTATTATACCCAAGAAGGTATTTGGCCACACCAACTCACTTCTTACACTTCCTTTCATCATCTATATCTTCTTCTAGAAAGAATAAATAAATAAAAATGCCTTTATTTAGCAAGCGTGTTCCTCCGTACATACTGCTTTACAGGATAACTCTTGTCAATTTACTAATACTAAATCAAACTAATAACAGAAATCGTTCTTATATAATAGGCATTCTGGTGCTAGAAAAAGGTGATATTGGTAGGACTGTTGACTTGTAATGGCCCAATAAAGTAGTAACTTAAAACATCGGGATTAGTCAAACAATTTATGTTATAAGAAATAGAATCTTCTGAACACTTGTGACACCACTGTCCGGGCCTAGCCCAAGGGAGGTTGAAAATCTTAGGAAACCCCTAGAAAATCCTAGACATTGAGGCCAAAAATAAAATGTAAAAGAAATCAAAGAAACTAGCGTTCAACACCTGTTAGCATTTTATAAAATCAAAGTAACCAGAGATGGTTGTACCCCCAAGTCGGGCCCTAAAAAATAATACCTCTGCTGCAGCAAACCTGCAGACTTAGCGAATTTCAATTTTCCTGATTTGATTTACACTATAATATCTCCTTCAAAATCTCACAGTTATTTCCAATTTAAATAGCATTAGTTTAACCAAGTACTTAGGTTTGCTGCAACAGGGAGGGTTAAAGTGTTTTTTAATGTTAATAGTTTAGTATGAAATAAATGCATTTTCTAAATTTGATCAAAATATGTTCATTATAAACCACTGTTCCCATAATCTGATCATGCTGGATTGCGAACTCGTTTGAATAAAAGTAGATTTACACATTTGTACAAAATTTCATCAAAATCGAATCAATTTTGCTCTGAGTTATTGTGCTAACTGACAAATGTATATATGAATACTAACGGATGGTGTTTTTGGGCTCTAGGGACTTCAAAATTAATAAGTAAATCGGTCCCGGGTCCAGGTCTTACCATGGGTATCTACGGTAATAGCTTATTCCCTATATGGGGAATTCGCTAAAATGTAACATAAAATGTAAAATGTAACCCGTATAATATGACATGGTTGTTACTGAAGATTGGTGTATGATTGCAGGAAGGAGCAGATAACGTGCGTAAGGCTGCAGACGACGGTTCCTCCTCGTGGAAGCGCCTAGCTGTGCCTGGTCCAGCAGGGGTGCCAACTGCTACCATCAAAGAAGACCCTGATATCAACAAGCCCATAGACAGAGCCCACGCTGACACAGTCATCAACTTTCTCATCAAACTAGCTTGTCAGGTGATGGTTGTATTGATAGTTTGTCGTAGTGTGAATCTTTCTACCACAATCACTTTCTGTTTCAAATACAAACTGCATTTTACTAAATGCATTCTTTGGAGTAGGTACACTCTAATAGGGTGTCTACTGGTTACTAAAGTCACTGATTTAACTAGGATTGTAGAAGTAAACTCGTGCAGTTCACCCGACCAGGCTCATGATAGCCTGACTTGTGGATCACTCACTTTCTGTCGCATACATAACTGTTTCCGTTCTCCCTTATCTTTTGTATTCTTTCTGTCATCATACTTTTATATAATATACAAATAACAGTTTTTAGTTTTTATATTGTTTGTTGGTTTTACTGCATTGTTTTTGTGCATTTGTTTCAAAATTCGTTCAAGTGTGAAGTACTTTTTTAAATACAGTTTAGTGTGACTTACTGAATTATTGCTATTTTTTAAATTTAGAGGATAGGATACTGTAAATTAATTTCCATTTTTAATCCTTAATAATTTCAATGTTTATACATAACACATTGCCTTTTTTCTGATGATCCAACCCTTTTTTTTGCGTCCCAACCTTGCCCAAAGGTGATAGGTAAGCTTGGTTTGCAATGTAAGCTCACTTAAATAGCCCTCAGATTCACTTTTGGTCAAGTTAGTTTACCCATTTGCATCAACCACTGTTCTTTTCCAGGTGAACGAAGTAAGCCCAGGCACGACGGCAGGCAACTCTCCCGGTGAGCTCCTGTCACGCCGGTGTGTGTCTCTGCTCAAGATGGCGCTAAAGCCAGAGGTGTGGCCGCAACAGAACGTCGACCTAAGGCTGCAGTGGCTGGACAAAGTGTTCCTGGGTGTAGACGCCTCGCCTAAGTCGCCCAAAGAAACACCCAACCTTGGCAACGTGTGCACTGCCTTGGAACTCTTCACGTTCCTGATCACGGTCATGAGAAAAGAACAAGTGCTGACAACTGTGAAACCTCTCCAACGAGGGATTGCTGCTTGCATATCCAGCTCTAACTCAAAGGTACGGTAGATGTGAGTGGAGAGAAGGACCCAGCTGTCATTGATAAATGGTCTTGGCTAATAGCAGCTGGTATGAGTCAGTAACAAAGCAACACAGATAAACCCACTTTATTCTAGACTGACCCTTCATCCTTATTCAGCATGAAATATGCACCAAAGTTTATATTCCAAACACATTTACAATCCTAGACCTCAATTTTTTTATGGATATGGTGTCGATCAAAACCAACCGTCAATATGGCACCAAAGTTCAAGACTACTAATAGTAGACTACTAGTTGACTAGTAGTCTTACTTAGATTAGCAATACACCGAATGAATTTTGATAATTGAATTTACTATTTCTGCTTAAATTTATGTATATTGTTGATGCGAAGGATTTGTCTATTGGATTAATATAATAAAGACGAATCTTTAAATACAATCTAGTTTTACTCAGGGGTAAAACTTATACATGCAGTGTATGTTTAGTTAGTGAAATAAGTAACATTATTCTGTACAGGGGGTTCTTCTTAAAAGTAAGGAACAATCTCATTCAAAACAATTTTCTCTTACTTCAAAAAATAAATCTGTGTTTTTAAAATGTAGACTATACATTTTCACCATTTGTCAACTAATAAGACTGTTGATATATCTTTGTAAAAATAAATACCAAACATACTTTGTTTCTACTTGAGGTTAAGGGTGTAGCATAGAGCACAAGGGCCTTGATTTTTTAGGATTTTTTGAGAGGATAGCAGGCTTACCTGAATGGGAAAGAGTCCAAAATGGCACAGGAAACACAAAACAAAACTTTACACTATATACACAAAACATTAGAATATTTCACTGCCACTGACAGTATTTTCAACTAAGGAAGAGAGAGTTTTCTAGATGTCCAAAATGGTGGCCAGTGAGTTGTTGAGTCAGTGTTGCCAATAGTATGAATTCAAAAAACACAGTTTCAGTTTATCTTATATGCACTATATATATATATATGAATAAATAAATATGTAAGCCTGCTAGTTGGGTTGGATGGAAGTGGAGTGGGTTAGATGAAAGGTATTATCTCAGGTTTAGGTTTGGGGGTTGTCTAGACTTAGTACAGTAGACTCCCTCTAGTTCGGCCACCTCGGGACCGGACCACTGGCCGAACTACAAAACGGCCGGACTAACCGGATGTAGTGCATTTTACATCATCAAAATACAAATCATAGTATTGCGCAATTGTGATATGTTAAGTCAATAACCTTGGTTCAGTAATAAAAACTGTAACGTTAAACTCACGCTTACTCAAGCAAAACAAAAATTACACAACACTGAACGTACAACAATAAATCACGTAAAGAACAGAAAAAAATGGTTACTAATCACCCAATCACAAACTGTTTGTGAGATAGCAAACAAGTGCACAGCAGACATCAGTTGTTTAAAGAACAGATGATTGTCAGTGCAAGCGGATAGCTTGACCTTGAAGCTAACGATGGCTATTTCTTTGTTTTGCTTTAATTTATTTTTGTCAAATAAACTGTGGTGTTTCAAAAATAATAATGGGAGAACCTACCGCATAAAAAAATGGTCCGAAATATTTAATTATACACTGCATTTCAACTTATTAGACCGAAGAGAAACTATTTATAAAATGTTCTCGGTATTTTTGAGGTTATGTAACATAGTTTTACATAGGTAATATGCAACAATTCACCCATAGAAGCACCTGTCAACTAAACTGACATGAATTGTTTACTTCTCTGGCCGGAAACTAAACATTCAAGTTAAATCCTGTCGAAGGCTATTCCCCCGTGACGATGTGACTTGTCCCCCTGAGACCAGGCCGGACCATCCGGCGGCCAATCCAACCGAAGCCGAACTAGAGGGAGTCTACTGTAAACAATTGATAAGACAAATCCCATCTTCTCAGTTGTGACTGGTTACATTGAGGAGGCAGTGATTTGACTATTTTGGTTGTTAAGCAGTCATTGAAACTAGGGTTGTTGTGGCTCTGGGCATGTTGTACAACTGGTTTGTCTTTGTATCCAGTAGATACATCTTGTCTATGGCCATTCATCCTGGTTCTGAGGCTATTGGTGGATAGGCCTACATACTGTGCCTCACATTTGTTACATTGTAGTTGGTAGATAATTTTTTTCGTTTCACAAGTGTTGAAGCCTCGGATGTTGTAGTTTTCTTTGGTTGTGGAACTGGAAAATGTTTGGCTGGGTTGATTTATTTCACATGTTTTACATCTCTTGTTATCACAGGGATATGAACCGTTAGGGCGTGCGTTGTTTGGGTTGTTGTTGGCCGGGTCAGGAACTTTTGGGTGGACTAGTATTTTTCGGAGATTGGGTGGTTGTCTAAAAACAATGTTTGGTGGATCTTTCAAAAAATTGATGGTGTGGTTGGAGGCCTTGAGGATTTTGAAGCCCTCTTTTAAAATGCCATTCAATTAAATGCCATTTAATTGTCTTGGTGGTAGTCTGTGACAAGAGCAATGGTTTTGCTATTTCGTTTTTCATTATTTGGTTGTGGATGGTCTTGCGCTAAGCGGATTTGGTTCTCCACCAGCTTTCTAGGGTAACCCCTTTTTATGAATGCGTCAGATATTTTGTTATTGAACTTGTTTAATTCATCATCGTTGCTGCAGATCCTTTTGCCCCTGATGGCTTGACTGAACGGGATGGATCTTTTGGTGTTCTTTGGGTGGTTGCTGTTAAAATGTAAATATTGTAGATGGTTGGTAGGCTTGAAGTGTACACCGGTTTGTATGAGTCCATCTTGAATATTTATTTCTAAGTCCAGGAAAACTATTGTTGATGTTGAGATGTTGCTGGTGAATTTAAGGAAACTGAAACTGTTAAGGCTGTCAATAAACTGTTTTAAGGAGTCTGAGCCTGAGGTCCACAAGATAAAAATATCGTCTATAAACCGGAACCAACACAAAGGTTGTACTTTTTGGGATTGTAGGAAACACTTTTCGAGTTTCCCCATGAACAGATTTGCGTAGGATGGGGCCATCCTCGTACCCATGGGAGTGCCTTTAGTTTGTAAATAGTTTCTACGTTCAAATTGAAAATTGTTTTTTTCTAGAATAAACTCAACCATGTTCAGTAGGAAAGAAGTTGAGGGCTTAGTGTTTTTGGGGCGTTAACCAGGAAAAATTCTATAGCCGCAAGTCCATGTGTAAGGGGGATGTTAGTGCACAGGGAAGTTACATCTATGGTAGCCAAAATCGTCTCAGGAGGAAGAGGTGTTGGTATGGTTGTCAGCCGTTCTAAGAAGTGGTTGGTGTCTTTAACATGTGAAGGTAATTCTCTGACAAAAGGTTGCAGGTGAGAATCTACATATGCCGAGATTCTTTCTGTGGCAGAATTGCAACTGGCAACTATAGGTCGGCCAGGGGGTGGAAAAACGTGTTTGTGTATCTTGGGCAGTATGTAAAATTGAGGGGTAGAGGGGTTGTCATTTATGAGTAGTCTTATTGATTCAGGGGATATATTTTGGAGAGGTGCTTCTTTAACGAGCCACTGTGTGAGTTCAGTATTAAAATCGTTGGTTGGGTTTTCATCAATCTCTTTGTAGGTGTCTTTGTTGGATAACTGTTTGTAGGCTTCAGCAGTGTAATCTTGTTTGTTCATAATTACAGTGGTGCATCCTTTGTCAGCTGGTAGTATCATAATGTTTCTATTATTTTTCAAGGATTTTAGAGCTGTTCTTTCTCCTGGAGTCAGATTGTCGTTTTTTGGCAGTTTCTTCAAGAAAACTGCAAGAAATTGCATTATGAAGTTTATGTACAGTTCAATCGGATGATCAGGCGGTAGAGGCGGTGGATCCTAGTTGGAAGGCGGTTTAAACTTCATGAGAGATTCATCGGGTTGGGGTTGGTTTTTTAGGGCGTTTGGAAATTGATGTATGTGGTACTGTATTCTAAGATTTCTCGCAAATTATGTGAAAATGTCCTGTCCTAAACTGAAAGGGTCCAATGTGTGAGTAGGAGTAAAGGTTAGGCCTTTAGAGAGCACTGATGTTTCATCCTCCGACAACTCATGCGAAGAGATGTTCATAATCGATTGATCGGAAATGGTAGTTTTAGGGACGGTGTTGCTGTCTGTTTCATCTTTTTTCACTATGGGCTTTCTGTAGGGGACTTTTGGTAGTAAAGGTAATTGTCCTGTGGGAATCGGAAGATTAAAAATTGTGGCAAGGCTAGGCTTGTCTCCTATTAAAGGTACGTTTTTTTGGTTTGGAAGTGAACAGTTAGCTTCAATGAATCCCTCATTTCTTAATTTCAACAAGCATAGTTTAGACAGTTTTTTTAGTTTATTCTTTGCTAGATTCTCCTGTAGCTGGTTAGCTTTTTTAACTGTACTGGTCATTTCAGAGATTAGATTAGGGAAATTTGTTATAAGAAGATGGTTGACTGCTTTTAGGCTATTGAGTAATTTGTGTTGTTCAGTTTTCTAGTTTTGTTTTTGTAAATAATAATAGTTTTGTTTCTACTTGATTTACCATAATTACGCAATAATTGTGAGATATTATTTCAAATTTTCTTATTTATCTTTGGTAGCATTAATGGGTTCTATCATGTAAGTTTATGAAATTTGTGACAACTTGATACCAATCTATTCTATAACAGTACTATTAATGTCATATGTCTATTCATGAGTGTAAACTCTCGTAGCAAGGGGTACAATTCTCCTTGCCTCAGAGACCCAGATCATTTTCTATGTTATGTAGACCTTAGCCTTAGCTGTGTCCCAAATTATATGGCCACTGTATGCTACTGGTGAATTGGTATTTGTCAGGATATGATTGAAATGAACCAGGGCTTCACTCCTCTAACCACAAGTAAAGCTTCCTAACCCATTCACTGAGGTTGTATATTGGCTGTTCCAGGTTATCCGACTGACTCATGGTCTACTGACCAAACTCATGGGAGTGTTCCCAACAGAACCCACCGGTTCCTCTGTGGCATCCAAGTTTGAAGAGCTTGAGTGTCTGTACAACTGTGTTGGAAAGGTGATAAGACTTGTGCTCTTTTATATTCATTTTGTTCTTATTTATCTATAAAAAAAATAATTGCTAAATCTCACTGATTGTTTGCACATATATATCCTCCTTTGTTCCAGTTATTCTCAGGTTCGGTCGTTGACTAAGCCTCTTCATATTCTCCTATCCCTCCACGTCTTTCGTACTCCACTATGTGCCATTCCATCTCAGTATACCTCTACACTCTCTTCCCTTTTGAAACAAATCCCTATATCACTGCCCTATATATCCTATATATTTGGTCTACATTCCTATATATCAACTCCATTTTCCTGAAAAATTACTCTTTTTTGCATTACTCTAAGTGATATACTGCATCTAAAAATACACAATTTTCTTAGTTTTATGAGTGTGATATTTTGTTATCTATTTATTACATATGAATTAATTAAAAAAAGATAAAAGTACAACTCTTATTTTGGAAAGGCACATATATAGAGTTCAGTTAGCTCACCTGTGAAAATAAAGAAAAAATGTCACATAGTTAACGTAGTCGTGGTATTTCTAATTGGCACAGCGCTTCTTCACAGAGTAGAACAATTAATTAGAAATTTTTTTAAAATAAAGTAGTTAAGAAATAATTCTAAAATGTATGTCTTCTAAGTTGTTGAACCTGAGATCCATCTCCATCTCTAACACTGATTGTTTTGTTTACTGTGTAGGTGATATTCGAGGGGTTGGCAAACTATGAGAAGAATGCATCTGCCTTGGCCACATCATTGTACGGGACCCTGATGATGCTAAAGGCAGCCTGTAGCAGTAACCCTGGGTATGTGGACAGACTCATCATCCCCTTCATACGAGTGATACAACGGATGGCAAGGGAACATCTCAACCAGACCAACACAGACACCTCATCAGGTGAGAGGGGCGATTGATGTTCTTTACTCTGTTAAATAGACGGATTTTCATTCTCTAAAAGGTAGGCACTTTATTACATTATTGGTTGTTGACAAGGAGGTTAGTCCATTCTAGGAGAATACCGTTCAAACCCCCCTAATGTTTGAGGCTATGCCGATAATCTAAGCCATTGCTCGTACACTGAATCCTGAGCCACTATGCCATTGATCCTATGTTCTAGTAGAATATCGAAATCCCTCATCCTTTTTTTTTGTATTTCAAGATATTCACCAAGGTACATATCTGGTTCTCGTGGAAAGACAAGAGGTAATAAAAGTGCACTTAATAGGCTACGGATTTATCATAAATCTACTGTAGGACGTTTTCATAGAGTTTATTTGATTCTAATTGAATACAGGTTACACTAGAATAGAAAAGTTAATGTTATCTGGATCTTGTATTTTGCTATATGCTGAATTCTAAATTTTTTTCATGTAAGCTGCTGAACCCCATAATCCTTCTTTATCTAACCTAGCCAACTGAGCAACAACAAATAAGTACGAATGTCGTTAAAAAATATGCCAAATAAATGTCTGAGTAACTAAAACCATGATGATGTAGGCTGTTTTTTTTAATATGAGTCAAATTTAGTTGAATTTAAATTTAAAAACTACAGTATCATGCCAGTTGTATAATTTATACACTGCTAAATGCTATCTCGGTAGTCTAAATTAAATTTTACGCTTTTTAACTTGATCATAATTTTCTGCAGCTACCAGTGACTTGCTGATCTTGAGTCTGGACCTGGTCAAGAACCGTGTGGGAATCATGACTGTGGACACCAGGAAAACCTTCATAGGCACCATCTTGGTTGGTCTCATCGAGAAAACTCAGGACACCAAGGTCATGAAAGCAATTTGCAAGGTAAATTCATAAACACCCTAAATATTTTTCAGCTTTCAAATAGGTCTTACTGATAAGGTGTAATGTATTATAATTTACCTCAGATTCTTCGCTCGGACAGCTCAGGTAGGTCCAGGGTTCGCTGCTCGCTCTTACTGCTCGCCCTTAGGATGATACTATTGTTTTGTGCCAATCTACAAGTAAACGAGTACACTACTTGGTATGTAGACACATCAACCCGCCCACCCACTAATTACAACACTGTAACGCACTGCAACACAATGCCAGCACAGTGACACATTGACGAAAGAATATGTCGGATCTAACTAACAAAGCTTGAACAAAGAATATACTCAGTAACCAACTAAAATATTACTGCCATCTATTTCTATTGCACAGTTACAATGTCAGCACAACAGCGCACTGACAAAAGAATAAGTCGATTGAAACTAAAATAAAGAACCTGTAAATAGGCTTAACAAAACAATAACTTCTGAAAACAACTAAAATTAATCCTCTTGTAACTTAACAGAAATTTAGTTTAAGTGAAATAATTAAATAAACTAAATAAATTTATTGTTGTGTTATATTCTTTTATATTGCTCGCTTGCGAATCGCATACGTGACGTAGGCTTTTCACCCACAGGTCTGACCCTGGGTTTCGAGATAGGGTTGTGAGCAAACCTAACGCTCGCCGCTGACTGACCAGATGACCGGCCGTTTCTTGCCACCGCTATGCTAGCGTTTCGAGTAGCAGTGGTCGAGTCCCGTACTAGGACACACTTGACATGTCTAGTGTTACGTCGTTCATTGTTGCCGAGCGCGCTTTAGCAGTTTATGGCTTAGAAATAATGAAAACGTACCCCTAACATTTGACCATTACATGGTTGGGAAATATGTGTATATTTTTCTTGCACTAAAAACTAGTGATATGAACCAGTTCTTAAGCAGTTTAATCCTGATATACTATTTGCATTTTATCGTTTTTGCATACGCGAGTCTTGGAATCTCTTAAGTCAGTAAATTAACAGGGTTTTCATATATAATTTGAATAACTAGAGAATCTAACATTGCGGATGTGGTTGTTGAAATTAAGAGCAGAAAAAGACATATTATTAGAAGGAACAACTTAAGTATAGGTACTGTACAAAATATGGAGTAGCGATCGTGTTTTATTGGATGGTGACTGCAAGGCAGGCTCAAAATATATCACCTTGTATTGCTTTTACAGTTTATATCGTTTAGCAGTTACATCCTTAATCTTGAACCTTGTGTCATCCCTAATTGTTTGGACACTTTAATTTAATGCCTTTGATTACAATGCATTTCGGTGTTATAATTTTATAGGTAATTTTGGTCATAAGTCATTTTGGATAAAAGTGTTTCGGTTGTGAGAGATTCTGATGTAAGTATGGTAAATCAAATATCTGAAACAATTGGAGTAGAGATTTGTATTCGCCTATTCGGAGAATAGATTTTTCACATGATCGGACATCAACACAAAATGGCCATATTTCTTTAATAAGCGTGATTAGAATCCCTCAATCTTGGCATAAAGTGTATAGTTTCAGCTGCAAACAAAGTTTGTGATCATTGTAGAAGCTTTGACTTACTGTAATGCTACCGTGATCGTCAGCGGTGTGATATTTCCGAGACCTTTGGCATATCTGACCATATCATCGTGATTGTATTTAGTTACTTGTACATGAGCAATAAAGCAGGGTAGCACATGGTTGTCGAGTTCCCAACACCAAACTCATGAGCTAAGCTAGAACTATATGCTCAATTTTTAAGCTGATCTAATATTTTAAGTTAATATAATCTAATAATCTTGTATTTTGTCAGATATACAAAGTACATCACCTTTCCTTTTTGCTGACATTGCTATAGCCTACTTTAATTCAAAAAGCAAACCAATATTGAAAGGTACGGTACTTGAAACAATGATAAATTATGTCATTGACCCAAAGTGAGGTTATGTGTATACGTGTGGGGTCTACATGTCAACACAATCACCGTGTCGCTTAATTTCACGTGAATTGTTCAACTGTGCGCTCCTGCCATTTGCCCTTGTAATGTTGGTGTGGCAGAAAATTTAGATTTATCGTCTTTGGTGGCGATTTCGGTTAACCAAGTTTCAGATGACCGGCGTTTGGATAATCTGCGCTCCACTAAATACAGAATACTAAGAACTGTTTTGGTGTTCCCCAGATGGTAGAGGAGTGGATGAAGGTAGGCAAGAACGGGTGTGCAGTGGCAGGAACTTCTCAACTCAACGCAGGACCCAGTCTGCGGGAGAAGTCCATCCTGCTGGTCAAGATGATGCAATACGTGGAGAAGAGGTTCCCTGACCTCAACACTCAGTTCTTGGAACTTGTCAACTCTGTTTACAGGTGTGTTAAAGTGTCCTGTTACAAAAACACAACAGGCAATTTAAGGACTTTGTGATGATATGTTATCATCAGACGTATCTAGTGAAGCTTATGGTAGTAAATTTATGAATGTGCTTATGCTGATCAATTAGATTAAATAAGAGTGTCTTCCAGTTACTGCAGTTATGGAAGTAACTGAAAATTTTCTGTTTCTATCAGAGGGTCACAGATTTCTAGTGACGAATTTGAATTTAAATGCATTCCAAGAAACAGACTTGTATCAGAATCCTAGAAGTGGAAATGGATAATTTGATATTTTTTAGCATAATAAATTTAGAAGCAACAATGGACAAATAAAAGAGTTGTTCGGAAAAGTATGTATTTAGCTATGTATTTAATGACAATACAACACAATTGGGTGTGTTGCTAGCCTATGATTTAAACACTACAGTACATATTTAACACTGCTAAAATTAATTTTACACTTTTATAGAGATGAGAGCTTGAAGACATCAGAGTTAACAGTGAAGCTAGAACCCGCATTCTTGGCTGGTCTCCGCTGTACTCAGCCGCAAATAAGGGCTAAGTTCTTTGAGATCTTTGACGGCTCGATGCGACGCCGCCTACACGAGAGGCTCATGTACATCACGAGCTCTCAGAACTGGGAGCCAATGGGACAACACTTCTGGCTTAAACAGTGCATCGAGCTCATCATAGTCACAGCTAACTCTGGTGAGTATCTTGTAACAAAACCGTCTAAATGATGTTACGATGGATGGATACATCAAACATGATCACTCCCCATAGGGCGAGTTAACTTGACAACTTAATCTAAAAAAAATACATTTTCCAGGTGGTGTTTTTTTCTGATTTAAACTTCTTTTAGTGACACATTATAAATATATAGTACTCTAAATTACCCTTAATGGAAGGTTATTTTTTTGTAAATACAGTAAAACTCCTGTTAACCGAATTTGGGTTAACTGAAATCCGGGTCAAAATGGTTCCATAAAATAATACAGACCTGTAAAATGCTTTAGTAAACTTCAGTTGTTCAGTTTAAAGTGTTTTATAACCCATTGTAACGTTGTTTAGCTGAAATAAAACACTGGATTATATAGACATCGTCTTAATTTTGTTTCTACACACCGTGGGAATACATTGGCTATTTTTAGCATATGATGGGTTAACGGAAAAATTAGTTAGTGGAAGCGGCTCTCCTCCCTTTATTTCGGTTGACCGAGGTTCTACTGTATGTAAGTAAATGGAATGGAATGTGTGTATACAAGTATTTATTCTTGTAGGTAATCAAATCCAGCTAGCCAGGGAGTCAGGATTGCTACCTAGTCTCTCCTCGGTGATTGTCCTGGCTGATCCTGCGGACAAGGATAACTTCCTGGTGTACTCCAGCATCTCTGAGGAGCCCCCAGAGATTGATACAGGATTCTTGGACCCTGCACAGGTAATTGAAGAAGAGTCGAGAAATATTTTGTTGCTAAAGGGGCCATACATGGAAGACAGTCTGTGATCGTGTTCTAATTTTTATGAATCAGGTGATATTGTTGAAACTCTGTGTACTGCTGTTATTTAAAGGATTTTAGCAGACATTTTGGATCACAACAAGTAAAAAATAAAATTAACATGATGTTTTGGGAACTTTGTTCTTGTTGTGATACTGATTTCTTGCAGGGAAACACCTAAAATATACAATATTTTACACAAACCCAGCAGACAAGAAAATCAGATAAGAAAACCTACATTCCAAAAACTGTAAGTTAGTCCAATCGTAAAACAAAAATCTTGTAAGAAAAAAAAATTAATACTTACTTATAGTTATAGTCCTGACTAGGGGTGTGCGATGCAGCATATTTTTTTCGATTCGATGCATCGATGCGATTCAAAGAATTTTGATCGAATCAATGCGATTCGATTCGATGCAGCACAGCATGATTTTCTTTAAAAATTAAATACAACATGTGTTTCTGTAATGGACCCTTTACCTTAAAAAAGTTAAAGTAAAAAAAAATGTACTAAATAAAATTATGAACAAGAGGATAGTTGCTGACCTAACCTCACTAATGGACACTGCTAATTTTATGGTTGGCCTAAGGAAATTAACCCTTCACTAACAATTAGAATAAGCCTATATATCAATAAAGCAATTGTTAAGTTTATTATTATTGACCTGTATTAAATAAAATACAGTTTATTTTATGATGTAGTATTGTTACTTAATTTTCACATTTATATTTGTTGGCTTTCAATACTTCTGGTTCATTCTTAAATCAGCGTGAACCAAAAAAGTTGATAATCAGTGTTTACTATTTATTTTATATACTTATTTGATATACTATATACTTATTTGATACATTATTGCATGCTATGAATAAATAGATCTGAAATTAAAAATAAAGATTGAAATTAATAAATGTGTGTGTGTAAACTAAAAAGTTCAAAGAGATCAGTGAGGCCTACCAAAAAGATAAACGTTATTAATTAGAACTCAAATAATATATAATGTAATTTTCTCACTATTTATATCTTCAACATTTGTTCAACTATGAAAATAAGTCACTAAGTCTAGCTGAAAACACATTAATAAATTACAATATCTTTTCAATACAGAATAATAAAACAAACCACATTTTACAAACATTTTATTTCTTAACTTTTTCCCTTGAACAGGGTGAGGACTGAGGAGGCCAACATTTTTTTAATGACTATCAACAAAAATTAGGTATCAATTATAATTTCACGAAAGCCGTTGATGAGTGAGCTGTGAAGAGCAGACGACAGAATTACGTCACTACCACAACAACTCAACTCAACTGCGATTGTGAACTGCGGGTGTTTAGTTTAGTGTGAAGTGAAGCACCCCCTCCCCTGTCTAACGGGACATGGGGTATGAAAAGAGAAAGTTTGTCAGAATGGCAGACTTGCCCTTTGTAAAGTCTGGTTCACATGCCCTCCCTCCCTCACCCTCAGTCGCTTGCATAATTCTACTAAACAAAAGTTTTTGAGTGTTGATTTTAAAATTGTTGTGTGCGAGATTTTGTTCGAATTGAACATTTTTCAAGGAAAATAGTGGAGTTTCACAGGACCACTGGCATTCCAATCATAGTGGTAACAAAATAACAACCTGGTGCTCAGAGAATACTTCACCATGGACTCTCCCATTCAGAATTTGTCCTTAAGCTGAGACAGAACATCCAGACATTATGCCCGGCAAGCAAACCAACAACTGTACCACTGACACTCTGCTCATCTCAACCGTCTTCGCAGCAACTACAACCACTATCTAGTTCTCCACAGCATCACTCACAACCAACTTCAACACAACTTCCTGCTGTTGGTCTTATCAGGGTTGGTTCCAGGCGGTCTCAGCTATAACGAAGTTGTTAAGTCAAAACCATCGAGTGTTGTGAAAAAGCAGATCAAATGTGTGGTGTCAAGTGTTGAGGGTGATCCATCAGTGTTAGAGTTAGATTCCTTTTTAGATGATAGTTCTCCTTTAATTTTAAACTGATTCATTCTGACAATGACCTTGTACCTGCTAAATTAAGTAACTTAGATAATTCTTTGCACAAAACGAACTAAAAGGTTTATGTAATCAGTCTTTTTATTCAACTAACTGTGATTTAATAATGCATTACAATTGTCAAGGTTTAAATTTAACAACAATTTCAGCTCTCAATTTATTTTTATCTGAGGCCAATTTGAATATTAAAGCTATATCTTTTAATGAACATTGGTTAGATCATAATTCAGCCTCTCTGTTAAATACAATCAATAATTTTAAATTGGCTAGTTCTTATATAAGAGAAAGTGGCTGTAGGGGCGGATCTTGCTTATTACTGGATAAGAACTGTAAATATGTAACAATAACACAGTTTTCCAATTTAAATGAAGACTTTATTTTTGAATGTTCTGCTATTGAACTTGTGGATTTTAAATTAATTTGAATTTCTATTTATACAGTACCAAATTTCAACATAAGTAAACAGTTTTTAGATAGACTTGAAATTCTATTTTTGATAATACAGAAAAAAATAAAAAAAAAATACTGTTTTTGTAACTGGAGATTTTAACATAGACATTTTAACGAATGACACATTCACAAGTAGATTTAAAGAAATTATCGAATGTAATGGTTTTTGTTTTCAATTTGAGGAGCCAACTAGAATAACAAATACTTCATTTACTTGTTTGGATAATTTTATCACACCCAAAACGTTTAGTTGCCATTACAGGTTAAACACTGAGTTAGGTCTTTCTGATCACAATGCTATATTTATAAACCTTCCTAAGCTAGTCAAGTGTAAAACCATCAAGAATACTTCTAGTTCTTTTAAGAAAAGAATCATCTCTGATAGAAATACAGATGAATTTTGCAAATATCTACAGAGCACTAATAATAATTTTGTATTTAACCCCGCTTTAAACCCCAATGAAAATTACAATAGTTTTTTGAGAAATTTTTTATTATCTTTCAATCATATATTTCCTGTTAAATCACTAAAAAAGAATGCTAAAACTAATAAATCTACTCTGAATTGGGTGACCCAAGGTATAAGAATTTCCAGTAAGAGGAAACGGGAATTGCACTTGGAAGCCAAGTTTAGTAGAAACCAAGAGTTTTTATCCTATGTAAAGCAATACAAAAAAATATTTAATAAAGTTGTAAAAAATTCAAAAATTCTCTCAAATAATAACCTAATTAGAAAATCTAAAAACAAGTCTAAGGCAGCTTGGCAAATTGTTAACAATGAACTGGGTTTAAACCGTACTCAAAGATACAAAATTATTTTAAAAGATGATACAAACCAAACCACTGTTGATAATCCTGATGATGTAGCCAAGCTTTTTAACAGTTTTTTCTGTAATCTATATAATTAATACGCTACACGAAAGTTTGTCGGTTGAACTCCTCCGCCATTTCCTAACCGATTTTATCCATTGACGTCTCATTGGAAAGAGCGTGTCGCGTAGATTTGCAAACTGACCTTACATTTTTGAAAAAGTCCCTTGGGCTCTGCCCCAGTGGCTTTGAAACTTCCCATATTATCCTTATGAAGAACATAATTGTTTACATTTTGATCAGCTGTATAATTTTATTGCTGTTATTTACTTTTCAATTCAATGAAACACATTGAGTACATTTATTTACTATTTGAGTTTGTGTAAACATAACCCCCAAGACGGATCGTGTTAGTATGGTCGTATCTTAAATTTGTGTATTTATCGTTGTTTTGTGTCGCTATGATGGATTGTGTTAGCATGATTGTAACTTAAGTTTGTGCTTTTATCGTTGTTTTGTGTAGCTATAATTTGTTTATTACAGGGTGTCTAGTAGTCGGGAAAATCGGGAAAGTCGGGAATTAGTATTGAATTTCAAAATGGTCTTGAAAAGTCGGGATTTAGTCTTAAATTTGATTTCAAAGTCGGGAATTTTCATGATTTTGCCGCGATCGTCGTCTTGCGTTTACGTAACCGCGAAAGCCGATGATGATGTCTACACGGCTTCGGGAAATGTTCACGATTTTGCCGCGATAGTGGACGACGACGATGACGTTTCCGTGACCGCGGGAGATGACGATGACGTTTCCGTGACCGCGGGAGATGACGATGACGTTTCTGTGACCGCGGGAGACGACGATGATGTCTACACAGGCGCGGGAAATGTTCATGATTTTGCCGTGATCGCGGACGATGACGATAACGTTTCCGTGACCACGAGAGATGACGGTGATGTTTAAACAGCCGCAGAAAATGTTCATGATTTGGCCGCGATCTCGGACGACGACGATGACGTTCCGTGACCGCGGGAGATGACGATGACGTTTCCGTGACCGCGGGAGATGACGATGACGTTTCCGTGACCGCGGGAGACGACGATGACCTTTCCGTGACCGCGGGAGACGACGATGATATCTGCTTGGCCGCGGGAATTATTCATGATTTTGTCGCGATCGCGGACGACGACTATTACGTTTCCATGACCGCTGGAGATGACGATGACGTTTCCGTGACCGCGGGAAATGACGATGACGTTTCCGTGACCGTGGGAGATGACGATGACGTTTCCGTGACCGCGGGAGATGAAGATGATGTTTCCGTGACCGCGGGGGATGACGATGATGTTTCCGTGACCGCGGGAGACGACGATGACGTTTCCGTGACCGCGGGAGACGACGATGATATCTGCTCGGCCGCGGGAATCGTTCTTGATTTTGTCGAGATCGCGGACGACGACGATGACGTTTCCGTGACCGCGGGAGATGAAGATGATGTTTCCGTGACCGCGGGGGATGACGATGATGTTTCCGTGACCGTGGGAGATGACGATGACGTTTCCGTGACCGCGGGAGATGAAGATGATGTTTCTGTGACCGCGGGGGATGACGATGATGTTTCCGTGACCGCGGGAGACGACGATGACGTTTCCGTGACCGCGGGAGACGA